GATCATATGATGGCCACTAGAGAAGAATGATAGAATGCGTTTATTTAAAAGATTTGTATGATTGTCCATCTTAAAACACAACTTTGGGAGGTTCATGCCAATAGTAAAACCACAAACTATAAAATGATAAAATCCTAAAACCAAACCTGAAAACAAAAACTAAAAACCTGTTTCCTCAATCAACTTCTAGGAGGACCCAACGGGTGCTCCCTTCACTCTATCCAAGTCTCAGGAAGGCTAAAGGCTAAAATGGTAGGAGTTGCACCATTCATTTTAACCAATGGATTTGGGTTTTACAAGTTGAACTAAGTCGAACCCTTAGCATTCCATACTGGGGAATCTATCACACTTTTGAATATCTTTTCTGAATCTAAAGAAAAAAAACTAGTGAAGAACAATGGGGACCTATCTGAGTGTGTGCATAAGTGAATTAAAATCTTCATATATTTGAAGCTTCACCTTTTGCAATGTTCAGCAAACTGGTTAGTTATAGGTACGTTTAGGCTTATCCTTGTAATACTAATACTATGGGAATAGCATGGTCTGTCAATTAGCTACCAGATATAATTGAAGTGACTGGCAGTTACTTTTAAGATTATGTGTTACTCAAGATCTGGATATTTTCATGACTATTACATATTGACTTTGCCTGCTGAGTAAAATATGGAAGAGAGGACTTGCTGAGGGTCTCTTCTCCCCAGAATAGAAATATCATTATCAGAGATCTTCAACTACAGCCTTTGCAGTATGGTCAACCTCTTTTTAGAATGGTTTGTCCTCCAGTATTTAGACCACCCCCTTCAGTTAAGATTCTAGGCTGTCGACCAAAAGGATGGCAGTTCGAGACCCAAGCACCAAACAATGGGGAGAGCTCCCATTACTTGTCCCATGTCCCAGCTCCTGAAGTTCAAAGGCAAGCAAAGGCAAGTAGATAAGTATGTACTACTTTGATGGGAAAGTAATAACGTTCCATGTGCCTCAACTTATAATCATGCTGGCTACATCAACACAAAAGCATCTTAACCTCAGTTAGGAAATGGTGAGAAGTATCACCCCAAATAATCGGACATGACTGAGTAGAGGAAATTGTCACTTTTTTACTTTCTGAAATCTGTAAAAATATGACTCTTAATTTGGGGATGAATAAAATGTCATCCCAAACAAAGGGGCATTGAATTGGTTAGTTATAAATGTATTAATTTTTTTAAAAAAATATTCTGCTATTAATATTATAAGCCAGTCAAGGTCACAGGAAATGGAGAAGCATAGAATTTGTAGTAATAAATAACAATAAAAAATACCTGAAAAGTATTTTTTTAATAGTACATCTGTTTATGGCACAAAGCCATTTAACTTGTGGGAAGTGTTGGGTATATTTATTCTGGGAAGACAAAATGCAGAAAGAAAATGATAGCTGTCTCTAAATATTTGAAAGACTGTCTTGTAAGAGATGGAGCAAAATTGTTTGGAGTTATTCCAGCATGAGATACAATGGGTTTCAACTACAAGGTAGTAGGTTTGGTTCGCCATAAAGAAAAATATTCAAATAAAACAAAAGCTGCCCACAACAACCTCTCTTATGTGATAGAGTTGTTTGTTTTGCTGGTAGGGTAGCTGGGAATTTCTGGGAATTGAAATCCAGACATTCCATTTCAAATTTGCCAAAGTTGGGAAACATTGTTTTATTTGTTTATTTTATTTGTTGTCAAATAGCTACAAGATAACAAGTATAAGTATGAACATAAACACGACAAAAGGAAGTAAATATAGATAAATGGGGACCATAAGACAGGGACAGTAGGCACGCTGGTGCGCTTATGCACACCCCCTTTAAGGACCTTTTAAGAATGGGGTGTGGTCCATGGTAGACAGTTTGAGACTGAAGCTGTGAGAGTTTGAGGCTGTAATAACAGAATCGGGTAGAGCATTCCAAGCATTGACCACTCTGTTGCTGAAATCATATTTTATGATAGCCCTCCGGTTATCATTTGTTAAAGAGGCTTTAGTAGTGGGTCCCTGCACTGGGTAGAGGATTGGATCTGATCAGTGGTGGGATTCAAATTTTTTTGCTACTGGTTCTGTGGGCATGGCTTGGTGGATGTGGCTTGGTGGGCATGGTAGGGGAAGGATACTGTAAAATCCCCATTCCCTTCCCACCCCACTAACCTGCTTTCCAGCTCCATTCTCCTGTGCAGGGCAACAAAAGAAGACCCAGCCGAACAGCTGGGATAATAGAAGGGGGAGGGGGGCAGTTACTAATAGATAATAGAAGGGGGTGGGGCCAGTCAGAGGTGGTATTTGCCAGTTCTCTGAACTACTCAAAATTTCCACTACTGGTTCTCCAGAATTGGTCAGAACCTGCTGAATACCCCCTCTGGATCTGATGATCCTCAGTGTCTCTCCCAACCCATATCTTCTATGATCTACAGTTAGATGGTGATTAAAATGTCCTGCTTGATTACAAGTGAGGAACCTATCATTGTTCATTTTTGCTGATTTTCAACATCCAGCAACCTGAACAGCATCTGGGGACTACCGATTGATTATACCTGAATGAATTAATACAATCAGTGCTCTCAGAGAGCCATGCAGTAGATCCACTCCGCTGCTGCCAATTTTCAACAAATTAAAATTCAGCAGCCTTATTTTAGTGTAAGATAATGTAAGGACAGAATGGGCTAATCAACTTTTTTTTAAAAAAAATGAAGATGGTGTTTAAGAAAAAGGTGATTTAAACATTACATATCCTGGTTTTCTTTACTAATCGCAGTCACATTTCTCCATGCCTGTTTCATCTCGTGGTTAGCATTTGGCACATTCTTTTTTTTTTCACTGAAGCTGCCTTAGTTTATAAAAGAAGTATTTTAAAAGGGATTCCAGAGTGTCAGCAACTAATATCACAGATGAGAAGATTATACATCTTCTCATCTTGGAGTGTATTCTATATATAACATTTAACTATTCTTAGAGGCATCTTTGCTATCTGCACTAAATCAAAAGATAGAAGCTATTCTATCTTTTGGGAGACATTTTGATTAAAAGACCAATTTTAAGTGTCCTATAACAAGGGTAGACAACCCCATAGTGGAGAACCCACAGTAGATATGTATCAATAGTGGATAAAAACTGTAAATCTCTTTGGCATGTACAGTACATTCCATATGATTTTTTTTTAATGTTTCTGAGTTCTTGATATAGAATCTAATTGTATTGGTTTTCCTCTTTAGTCCTAATTGGGCTTTTCTTATGAGCAACAGTAAACTGAATGGCTAATAGCATTGAAAGTCACCTACTTATTCTGGTTATACATAAACTCTGCATGTAAATTTATTTTACTTTGTCTTTTTCTCTAAATTATCAGTATTACTATTGTTGCAGTTAAAATAGCTATCAGTGTGAGTCACAATGTCAAAAAACGGAATGTGTCCACTCCTCCTACAAATGCAGGAATAGTATGAGGTTACACACCCCATTAATTATACTGGAGTTGGCAGTGTGACTTCTACGGGCACTTTTTCACCCACAAAAACTCCCAAATTAAAACAGAGGCTCAAGGAATGTGAAAGCATGCCATCTATTGAGATTCAGCATTGTTATGGATAAGATTACAACATTTGAGGGACTGTCACAGAGAAGAGGAAGTAAACCTCCCAAGCACCTGAGGACAGGACAAGAAGTAACAGATGAAAATCTATCAAGGAGAGCTCCAACTTAGAACTTAGGAGAAATGTCCTCACAGTGAGAACAATTAACCAGTGGAACAGCTTGCCTTCATAAGTTGTGGATGATCCAACACTGGAGGCTTTTAAGAAAATAACATAATAATAACATAATCAGAGTTGGAAGGGACCTTATAGGTCATCTAGTCCAACCCCCTAGTCCAACCCCTCACCCAAGTGAGAGACCCTACACCATTTCTGACAAATGGCAGTCCAATCTCTTCTTGAAAGTCTCAAGTGATGGCGCTCCCACAACTTCTGAAGGCAAGGTGTTCCATTGGTTGATTGTTCTCACTGTCAGAAAGTTTCTCCTTATTTCCAGGTTAAATCTCTCCTTGTTCAGTTTCCATCCATTATTCCTTGTCTGGTCTACAGGTGCTTTAGAAAATAGCTTGACCCCTTCCTCTCTGTGGCAGCCCCTCAAATATTGGAAGACTGCTATTATGTCTCCCCTGGTCCTTCTCTTCACTAGACTAGCCAAGCCCAGTTCCTGTAACAGTTCTTCATATGCCTTATTCTCCAGTCTCCTAATCATCCTGGTTGCTCTTCTCTGTACTTTTTCTAGAGTCTCAACATCTTTTTTATAATGTGAACAAAACTGGATGCAGTACTCTAGGAAAAGATTCAGCAGCCCTTTGTCTGGAATCATATAGGATCTCCTGCTTGAGTAGAGGATTGGATGATCATTAGAAGACCTTTAAGATCCCTTCCAACTTTGTTATTATGTATTCTAAAAGAACCCCCGAAATCTGTTGAGAGTTCAGGCAATCGTCTGATATCTCATAAGATTTGGTACCTATTCTTGAATTAAATCTTTTGGATTTTGCAATCTCTGATTAGATTGGTTCAGCTAAAGGTTATAAGGGGCACAGCTGATGCATTCTGCTTCCATGCCTTGTTTCAGGGGATGGTAGCCTCATGGTCTGGCTGGGAAAGCATGGAAGTGAAGCCAATTCATTCTCATCCTGTAGAAGTAGATGCCACAATTTTAATTGATACAAGTGAAGTACACAAGGAGCCATTTTTTTGTTTTGCTCCAAGAGGATGCTTTCCATAAAAACTAAAGACCTGGCTTCCAGCTTTGAAGCCCCACTCATCTCTCTTAAAGATACCAGTGATATGTATTTAAAAAAAGAGACTTAAGCCCAACATTGTGCAGTATTTTTTTTTCACTTACCTGAAACAGATCACTTCAGTACCAACCATCAGTAAACCAGAGGTGGAAGCAGAAATTACAACATACCTCCACCTCTCTAAGTGTCTATAATTATTTGCACTTACCTATTTTTTCTTTTTTGCCAGCCTCGGTAGTGCTCACAGCTGCCAGCAGGAAAATAAATGTGAAGATAAGAACTGCAAATATCTGACACTGTTCTTGTTGTTTCTGCATTCTGGAAATTAATGAGGGGAAAAAAATAAAGTTTACATCAGATATCAGTAAATAGGTAAGGACAGCTCCGAAGTGATAAAAAGAACCATCTTTGGCATCCAGAATGCACCGAGAATGGATCAAAGGAATCTAGTGCACATTAGTAACAGATTAGAGAATGAGCTCATTAGACAAGAACTCCCCGGCCATACGGAAAGGCAAAGGTTGTCCTCATTAGCAATCATGATATTCAACAGATAACCACAGTTTTTGGCATGGAACTTATCTGCACCTATAACATTATTTGTTAACAATGTTGTGCTATCGCTTTAGTTTCTGCTGGGTATGTAACATAATAAACATTCACAGAACATATTTTCACATCGGTGTAAGTGCTAAATTAGCACACTCACTTTGCTTATCAACCAATTTCCCTTGCTCCCAAATCTAAATACCAAACTTAAGAGTATTTAATACTAGATTCTTCTTTTCTCTATGAATTCTCTGCATTGTTTATTTTGGCTTAGTCTTCACTGCCCTTAGATGTCTGCAGAGATGATCAGTCTTCACTGCCCTTGTTTTCAATCGGATAAACTACACAGTTGTTGTTAGGAGTGTCTATGACATCATCTTGCCAAATATGGCAACTGAGGCCCTCAGAGGAATCACACTGTTATCTCAAACATCAAGCATACTATGCAATGTTATATATATGTAGCAGCATGTAATCCCATAGGATCCAGTACAGTTTAATGTCAAGTATATATAAGGTAATGATATCAACAAAAGATGAGAAGAGTAACGGCAGCAAAGCATTAGAAAAGACTGAATGTTCAGTAAAATTTGTATAAATGTGTGCTTTCGTATTTGCATCACATATGCTGATATTGTCAGAACAATAATTAGCAAGTAATCCACAAAATGGATGGGTGACTTTGGGCCAGTCACTCTTTTTCAGCATAACCTATCTCATAGGGTTGTGGTTGTTGTGAGGAAAAGAGGAGGAGAAAGGGATGTTGGATATGTTGAGTTATTTTTAAAATGATACAGGTGGGATACAAATAATATAAATAAAATATATGAAATATATAATAATATAAATAAAATATTCACTGTGGCATCCAAAAATTATGAAGAGGTTTGCAAACGTTAAAAATTACCAGAGGAAGGGAAGTGTTTTGTGTTGTTTGTGGCAGTCACAAATTTGAATAGGCAAGCTAAGTGGGCTCCTCTGAGACCTGAGCAAAAAAACATTAACAAGAAAATGAAAGCAGATGTCAATAAAATTGACTAGTTTACAAACTAAGAATAACCTAAAAGTAAAATGACATCAAACAACATATTTGTAATTGGAAAGTAAGGCTGATTTGGTGGGGGAAATGTACTGAAATGTATTTCAATTAGTTCATAGGTTTTTTTTTTTTACATTCAGTGCGGTTTATATAAGTTTCTCCATTTATCTGCTTTAATTTGAATGTGTGTATTGCCCTCATTCCAAAAATAATGAATCAAGATTCATATCAGTGAGTTAACTAGGGCAAATTTCTTTGATCTTCCAACTCAGCATCTGCTGGATTTACAAAATATACCCAGGTTGCTTTAAAATCAATCTGCCTTTTTCCTTATGTTGTCCTACCAAATGTGGCTGTAAACTAGCTATCACAGTAGTAGGATCTCTTCCTAAGCCAGCAATGTCTCATCTTTGGAAGGATTGGGGTTTAACTGTAGGAATCAGAGAGCTGGTAGGAAAGGCATAACACCACAACAAAAGGACTTTCTCTCCCCTGAAATATACAGAAAACAAACAAGCTGATTTTCAGAAAGTAGCCAAGAACTAAATTATCTGCATTAGGAAAAAATCATAACTGGCCTAATGCCACGCAAGCCATGGGGGGTGGAGGTAGGCTTAGCAAGAGCACAGATTATGATTCCCATGTGGTAGGACTCTGAAGCATTGAACATGAAGCTATCCTGTACAGGCTTCCTCAGATGAGAATGTATCATGGCCATGAATTTGATGGACATGCATTGTTCCGTCCCATCATATGCCATAACTCTTTAACTGTTCAAGGAATTCTTGTTGAGACTCACCCTACATTTTGAACTTCCTACTTCTAGGTGGGTGAGATAGTTCTGTACTTAACCTTTGGATCCCACGTGGTAAGTCTTAGGAACCTATTACCGTTTTAAAAATGGCATAAAAGGTCTCATCAATATATTTGTCAGAGTAGTTTTCTGCTGAAAAGCTCTGCCTTTATCACTTGACTGTTAAAAATGATCTCTTTCTGATTACTTCACAGATAGGCAGTCGCATTACCAAAATAAATGAATCAAAGCTCATGCTGCTCTAAAACCAGACACAATAAAATCCTGATTGCCCATAAATGAGCCTGTTTGGTGTACTAGTTAAGGCATCAGGATCAGTGGTGGGATTCATAAATTTTTACTATTGGTTCTCTGGGCGTGGCTTGGTGGGTGTGGCTTGATGGGCAGGACAGGGGAAGGTTACTGCAAAATCTCTGTTCTCTCCTCACCCCACTAACCTGCTTTCCAGCTCCGTTTTCCTGTGCAAGGCAACAAAAGAAGACCCAGGTGATCAGCTGGGACTCAGGAGGCAGAGAATAGATGGGGGCAGGGCCAGTCAGAGGTGGTATTTGCTGGTTCTCCGAACTACTCATAATTTCCGTTACCGGCTCTCCAGAACTGGTCAGAACCTGCTGAATATCACCTCTGATCAGGATAGAAATTGGGAGATTGGGAGTTCTAGTTCTCCTTAGGCACAAAACCACCTGAGTAACCTTGAACCAGTCTCCTCCTCTTGTCAGGGTTCCAACAGATGCCCTAGTTAATGTCCTAGGAAGTGGGCAATCATAAATTACTTCAAAACATTGCCAGGAAAACTGCAAAGATAATCAACCGTAGGCATCAAAAAGTGACATGAAGGCATGCACTCATTCAAACACACTAATTCAATCCAGGTAGTCCTTGACTTACAACCATTTGTTTAGTGACTGTCCAAAGTGACAACACAGCGCTGAAAAAAGTGACTTATGGCCATTTTTCACACACACATATGACCGTTGCAGCATCCCTGTGGTCATATGATCAAAAATTGGTTGCTTGGCAAGTGGTTCATACTTATGACAGTTACTGTGTCCTGGAGGATCATGTGATCACCTTTTGCAACTTTCTGGCAAGCAAAGTCAATGGGGAAGCCAGATTCACTTAACAATAGTGTGACTCATTTAACAACTGCAATAATCTACTTAACATCTGTGGCAAGAAAGATCGTAAAATAGGGCAAAATTCCCTTAACAATTATCTTGGTTAGCAATGAAAATTTTGTATTACAGTCTATTCCAAACTGATTCTTTATAAATAAAGTGGACTTTTCAATTAAGTTGCCACATGGCAAATGTAATCATGACTACCAGTAGAAGAAAATGTTTAGACTAAAGAAGAAAAGATTGTCTAAGAAGACAATCTTAGACTAGCAATATAGCTCTTCACTATCTCTTTCAAGGCATTTGCCCTGCTACTAATGGAAAACTGAAGGTAACTTTTACATTTTAGTGAGACTGATCTTGAGGGAAACAATCTTTCCATCCCATCTTCAGGCAACCCTCACAATTTTCAAAAAGGCAGGCTTTAAATTCACATTGAAAAGAAAGTTAAAAGATTCCGGCTCTAATCTGACAAGGGAAGATGCAATTCTCACCATGAAATGTGTTTGAAAATGTCATTTGGCACTCTTAAGAGGCTCCTGCTGGTAGCCATCTTGTGAAAAAGCCACATAATTGCTATTGATGCATACTACTGAGAAGGGAAGCCCTCTACTGCAGAGAGCAAAGCATACACAACTTCCACAGTGAAGAATGTATTTTAATATTTGGAAATGACACATAGCTGCTTGACGTAAAAGTTATTAGATGATTAAAAATGGGCTAAAAAATCCTGAAAATATTAATATTTTAGTATTGTGTCTATAACTGATGATTATACACAGCACTATTTAGACTCCCCCAGACTCGTATTTAATGTAATACTTGTCTATTATTACTATTTTTGTTAGAATCTCAAAGCTGACACATATTTCAGTTGGTTCATATTCATGACTGCCTAATACACGCACATTTGCATGTATTTTTTTCCAAACAATTTTTTGTTGTTGTATTGCTTTGTATTTTTTTTCTAAACAAAATTAGAGTATATTTTTAAAAATGTGACTAACTCAAGTAATATAAGCTTTTGATATGTAGTCTTTGTCAGAGTATATTCATGAACTGGCAAAGACATGGTTAACAAAGTCAGCAAGTGAGTAAGCATGGCAACAGACTAGCCAATGGGAGCTGACAGCCTGGGTGTGGTTTGGGCTCTGTGTGCTTTGCTGAGAATTGAAACTGCTGCTTGTGTTTTTGCTTATGTTACGTTGAAAGAATCTACAAATAGTATTGTGAACTTTACTCATTTATTATGTTTATAAAGAAGTTAAATGATCCTGCTGAGTCAGTCATCTGTGTGTTTTCTAGACTTGAATTTTTGCTGCATACTCTAACAGTCTTCTCAGCTTTTTTCACCATTCCTTTTCCAAATATATGATTTTTAGTGCAAATTATTTCTAATGCATGCTTTATTTGACTCGGGTGAATGACCTCAGACTGCTGTGAACTTCATGATGTTGTCTTATTTTCATTCCTCAAACTTTGGAAAGCCAAGAAGAATGGCATGACAAATAAAACATCTCTGCAACACAAGAGTGACATCATCCCTAACCACCCTGAGTACCCCAAAAGAAATAACATGAGAGTAAATCCAAACATACATGTCCCAAATGTGCTTTTTAAAGAGACAGCTGGGCTTTCTTGTTTCTTTTCCTTGAAGACATTTAGCTTCTCACCCAAGAAGCTTCTTCAGTTCGGAACTGAAGAAGCTTCTTGGATCAGAAGTGAAATGTCTTCAAGGAAAAAAAACAAGAAACTCCAGTTGCATAGTGAAAAAAATAACCTTTTGAACAACCATGAC